ACTCGGGTCGTTCTCCGAGGACGTCTCGGGCGACAGGGGCCTCCGGGGTCCCAAGACCGTGCGGTGACGGACCGTGCGGTAAGGTCTTGGGGGATTTCGAGGTCACCGCACGGTCTGTCACCGCACCGTTTCGGGACTCCAAAGATAAGGGGAACCGGTTAGTGACAGTGCCCCGAACCTGAAACATAGGCCGATCACTAAACGAGATCTGCCCGAGCTCGTGTTCTTCGGGTGACGGCAGTTCCGACTAGTAGAAGGGGGGCGGGGGGGGCGCTCCCCAGTGCACATCACCAAACCAGGTCCCACTAAACCGAGTCCTGCCGACGCCCGAGCCGGAGTCGCCACGTCGTTCCCTGCCTCCCATGCCGAGTTTCTGGACATCGGCGGCGACATCCGAGCCCCACCCTTGCCGAGCCACGGATCCAGCAACTCGATGGGCGGCGGGGGTAGGGTTGGGAATGCGTCGAACATGTATCAGGAGGAACAAAAACACACAGACACAATTAATCGTCGATTCCCCAGAAAATATGGGAAAATATGGGAAGTGGGGGGAAAACGAAAACCCAGAAAATATAGGAAAATATGGGGAATCCTTTTATTTGTGTGTATTTATTTGTGTGTCCCAGTTCCCCTTCAATGTAGCGGAATCTGGGCCCCACCCCGCTTCCCATCGTTTCGGGAGCATGGATGGTTGGTGGAGGTATGGCTCGAATGTCGCCACCTGTAACAGATAGTAAATCACAGAAGCTTCCACTCGTTTTGGTTTGAGTGCATAACGGCGAATAGCGCCCAATGGCGTTCAATAGCGCCATATGGCGCCCAACGGTGCCCAGTAGCGCCGAACTGCGCTCAGGTAGCTCCCAATAGCGCCATGTGAGAGATGCATCATCTTCGCCTAGTTCGCGATTGGGCGTGCTATTGGTCGCCATGGGGGCGACACGTAGATTCCGTGAGTTGCTCTCTGTCTTTGCTTCCCGTGCCCGGTCAACCCATCGCACGGTCCGTTTCGATTTCGAGCCGATCGATCCGATCCGATGTCGATTCTGGCCGGCCCGATCCAAGGCGATGCCGACATTCCGACGATCCGATGGGGCCCGATGCTCGGATGGCGCCGTTGTGCATCCTGGCGCGACCAATCATATCCGATTTCGGTTCTGTGCCGATGCGACCCGATCTGACGCACGTTTCGATCCGAGCCATTTTCCCAATTCGATGCTGCTTGATCCTGCCATCGGTCCCCTCAAATTCTCCTCCATCGAGCAATCACAGTTTTCATGAACACGAACTTTCTGATCTCCGCGCAGATCTCTTGGCTCTGCGCGGGGGCTCCCCTGGCGGCGCCGCAGGGAGGGGGCTCCAGCGCCGACCCGAGACCTCCGCGCGGAGCTCCGACCTTTGTGTCTGTGCATTTTTCCCTTTGGCTCTTCCCGTCCTCGTACGACATCCATCCCCTCCATCCCTCCAGTCCCCTCCGTCCCTCCAGTCCCCTCCATTCTTGCTCCCTTCTCGACTCCCCTTCCCAGCCCTGGCTCCCGCTCCCAACCCCGGCTCGCCTTCCACGACTTCGCCCAAGGAGCGACCAGCCGGCCTGTTGATTCAGTCCGCCTCTTCTTTGCTGAGGCGACAGCCTCCACGCCATGCCTTGATGGGCACGGGCGGGCTCCCCAGCGGAGCGCCTTGACTCTGGCGCTCGTCTCGTCTCCCTCCCCTCCACTTTTTTTTTTTTTTTTTTTTTTTTTTTTTCCATGGCGACGCAGCTACCGTCCTGTCAGAGGCGGGACCACTTCCCAGCAACGCCCGACCTTTGCTTCCGCACCGGCCCCGCGCCCCAGACGTCGCAGCTGGGACGGCGCGGCGCGATCTCGTGGAGTCGCTGCGCGGCGCCACGAGTGCGACTCAACAGGGGCATCCGCGCAAGGGCCGCCCTGCACCCACAGGGGTCGCGGCCGAGGGGCCCAGACTCCGAGGCGGCGACGGGGGCGAATGGTCCAGGGGAGAGCACTACGTGTATACAGGGGCGCCGATGATCTACGTCTTCGACAAGGCTTCCGGGCGAATACGTGTGATGCCCGCCCCTGGGTTATTCGCCCTGGTCGTCGCCGGGCGGCACCGGCTCTTCCATCGTGTGAGACGTCGGGGGGCGGGTGCCGGGGACGACGCGTCGGGATCGGACAAGCTTCGGCACTCTTTGGCCTACCTGGCCGCTGCTGTCTCTGCGTGCTGTCTGTGATCTGTTAGCAGCTGTCTGTTCGGCACGCCTGGAGTCTCCTCCCCAGGCTTCGCCATGCTTGCTACCTGGTCTTCCTCCGCGTCCCTCTTGGCACGGGGGCACTTGCAACCCGTGGTGTTGTATCCACGGGTAGTATTGCAAAGCCTGTTGGCTGTTGGACTGGCCGCGCAGACCCTAGGGGTCCAGCTTGTGGCGAGGAAGACACGATACAGGCTGTGCCTCCCCCACCTCTCCCGTTTTTGGAACCCTGAGCTCTTTGTCAGTGGTGCTCCGCTTTCAGGTCCCACAAGCTGCCCGCGCTTGGTCGGGGTTCCTGGCTCCGTTCCCTGGTCTGGCCTCCTGGTACCCATCACATCCACACACTTACTTTCTCCATGGCTTCACGACGGTTTGGTAAACCCTCGAAGACGGGTGTGCGCGCAGACCTCAACCACCCGAGGTGCCCGCGGAACCAGCATCAGCACACCACCTGTCCGACCCCAGCTCCCACGTGCTGCACTGCCGACTTCGGCGCCAGTGCTCGTTTTCGCCGACTCTCCGGCTTCCAGCTCTCCGTTTCTTGCTGCCTCTCCGACGCCTCTCTTGCTGCCTCCCCAGAGTCCCGGCTCCAGACTCTGAGCGGCCAACCCCTCCTGTGCTGGCGCCCCGACGCCGACCCGTGGGACCGACCTCCGAGGCTTGGCCTCGGCGGTCGTCACGGTGCCAGTCTTTTGCCGCGGTCTGGCCTGTGGACATTTGTTTTTTCTCGGCTGTCTGGGCTCTCTCCCAGATAGCCGCCAGTGCCTGGAAGCAGCTGGAGCCTCGCGGGCCTTTTCCTCCTTCTTCTCCTCCTCTTCCTCCTCCTTATTGTCATGTTTCGCACGCTCGCCGTTTTACCCAATCGTCTCCAGTTCACCTTTCCTGCCAACGCACCACTGCTGTGCACGGCTTCTGTGTGTCCCTTTACGGTTGGACGATGTTAAGCTCTTCAATGTGAAAGGGAAGCCTCGCAATCTTTGTGCGCGCTCACAAGGGAAACCAGTAAGCAACACAAGAGCAGGATGCGAATACATGAGACGAAATGGACTACGAGATGGAGCCTATGCAGCGAGCGGAAATAGGACAACTTTCTTAGACTAGAATTTGAGCGGGCGCAGCGCGCACGTGGTTCTAGTCTATATATATGTATATGCATCATCATCACCATCACTATCCTGCTCCTCATCACCATCATCATCAACATTATCATCATCATCAACATCAGCATCATCATCGTCATCATCAGCATCATCACCATCATCGTAATCAGCATTATCATCATCATGTTCTCTCATCCCTTGTCTTATAATCTCTTCGCTTTTCTGCCAATGTTTGTTGTCTCCCTCTCTCTCTCTGTCTCTCCCACTCCTTGCTCCTGTCGCCCTGCGTCGGGGTTCATCTGTGCAGATTCAGCATCGGACGAGCTGACGCTGTTTATCAGGAGGACCTGAACCAGAGTCTCCCACAGCAGGGCTCTGTGTGAACCCCAGTTGGGCCCTGATCGCCTAGTCCCAGAGATCTGATGTATTGTTTTTTCCCAATGCGGGGTCCCCAGAAGTCCCGACCCTTTCCCCAGGCTGGCTTCTCGCCCTGAGCAGTGTTTTGCCGGCCCCGAGCCCTGGCGGCTGGCGGGGGGCCCCGGTGGCAGACAAGTGTGAGAACCACCAGCACTGATTTTTCATCACGTTGGACGCATGTGGTTGGGATGGGGAGTTTTTGCAGGTGGGTCTCTTCTCTTCTCGCCGGTGCTTTTTTACTTCTGGGATGTTGCTGTAATGTAAGCCACTGGTCTCTGCTGCGGATCGACACGGAGTGCACGGGTTACTCGATTGGTGTTGCGGTCGTCCCCTCCCTCATGCCCCTTCGTCTTCTCCCCCCCCCAACAAAAAGCATGTGGTTGGGATGGGGAGGGGCGCGATGTCCTGCACCGAGCCTGGCCTCCCAGCCCCCCAGGTACCTCGGGGTGCAGTCTGGCAGGCACGTGGCGCTGGCGCACCCGGAGATGCGGGGCCTGCTGCCGCAGACACCCCGGCCGGCCCCTCGACTCTCCCCCCCCCCCCAGTTGAGTAAGAGTAAGAGGTAGGAGTGACCTCTCGCCGGAGGGACCTTTGGTGCGGGCGCAGACGGGTCCCCAGATGGCTGAAGACGAAGCAGTAGCAGCTGCTCGCGCGCCCAGGTTTGGCCCCCCCGCGGCCCCCCAAAAGTCGCGCACCAAAGGTCGCTCTTACCCAGGGTCACTCTTGCGTGTAGCCGAAATTGCCTCGTCAGGCCAGGCGGCGATGCACAGACACGCCACCGCCACTGCTTTTTGGGCTTGGTGCCTCACGCGTGTGGCAGACGCGCTGCCCTGGACGGCGCTGCGGTGCGGACCAGCTCACTGCCCCGATCGCCCGACCGACCGACCCTCTGTCTCTCCCCTCCTGGCTCCCCTGGTGCTGCCCAGGAGGAGCGGGGAGACGTGGATGGGGGCAGGGCGAGGTCCAGCCGGGCAGGCCCGGCCGCTCTCCGCCGTGGCCGACACCTTTCAGGAGGGAAAGAAACACACAGACACAATTAATCGTCGAGTCCCAGGAAAATATGGGAAAATATGGGAATTGGGCGGGAAGACACAAACTGGGAAAATATGGAAAAATATGGGGAATCATTTTATTTGTGTGTATTTATTTATGTCCCAGGGTCCCTTTAACCCTGGCCGCCGCCGACGACGACGAGGGCGCCACCGCCGTCGCAGCACGCCGCACGGCGCCGCCGATGGCGGGCCTGGTGGCGGCAGAAGACGCCCGGAGTGAGAAAATTGCAGCGCCCGGATTTCAGGGGACGGCGACGACGGTGGCGGCTGCTTGCGGCGCCTGCCGGCGGCGATGACGGCGGCACATGCGAGTACATGCGAGTGACCTTCATCAGATGTTTCCGTGCAAGCCATTTACCCGGTGAGGGAAACGGCATAAACATAATTTTTCGGAGTTCCGCGCGGGTTTCTTGGATCAGCACTGGTGGCGACCATTCGGCGCCGCCCCTGGCGAGCTCCGAGAAATGTGCGCGGATCTCCGACAGTTCCTGTTTATGCCGTTCTTTCCTCTTCTGGCTTAGACTGAACAGCCCTTGGAGGGCGAAAGCTACCTGCGCTTGGCACGTAACATGCACTGGCATCCGTGTTGGCTTGGTTGTCCTTTCGTTCGGGGGAGTGCCACGCCACAGCTCTGGCGAGGGGGGCCTGCGGATCCGGCGCCCCTGCGGGCAGTTCGGCGCCTGCGACGGGCCGTGGCGCGCGCCGCTGTGGGCGCGGGGCGTCGTGGAGTCGCTGGGCTCTCAGGTCTGGGGGGTTCCCCTGCTGCTCTTGGGCAGCGTTGAGGGGGAAGAGCTCAGGGGGTCAGGGGTGTGGCAGGGAGTGGAGGGCGAGCTCGAACGTTTTCGAATATTTTCAGAAATGAAGTTTTCGGAAGGCTTCGAAGCTCAGGGCGGTTTCCATCAGCTGCGCCTCGTCGAGATGATGATGATGATGATGATGATGATGATGATGATGATGATGATGATGATGATGATGATGATGATGATGATGATGATGATGATGATGATGATGATGATGATGATGATGATGATGATGATGATGATGATGATGATGATGATGATGATGATGATGATGATGATGATGATGATGATGATGATGATGATGATGATGATGATGATGATGATGATGATGACGATGATGATGATGATGATGATGATGATGATGATGATGATGATGATGATGATGATGATGATGATGATGATGATGATGATGATGATGATGATGATGATGATGATGATGATGATGATGATGATGATGATGATGCTGATGATGATGATGATGATGATGATGATGATGATGATGATGATGATGATGATGATGATGATGATGATGATGATGATGATGATGATGATGATGATGATGATGATGATGATGATGATGATGATGATGATGATGATGATGATGATGATGATGATGATGATGATGATGATGAGGAGGAGGAGGAGGAGGAGGAGGAGGACCAATGTAATCCCGAGAGTCATCAACGATGTTGGAGTAAACCCTTCCTCCGAGCTCTATGCCCCTACAAGGGTTCATCTCCATTGAGGGAATTGTTTCGTTGGAAGACAACCGTTTGAAGACCCTGAAGCATGCCAAAACATTGTTTTCAAGATTCCAACGCCGCGGATCAACCTGAGTGTTGCGTTTTGACGATTCTAAATCGTGCCAGAAGCCGTTCTTCGGACATCAGCACCGCGAGTGAACGTAACTGTTGCACCCTCGTAATCCTGAATCCTTCCAAAACACCAGTTCTGGTACTTTCACATGGGAATCCGTGAAACCCTCGCAAATATTAAAACAATTATCCCGGCGAAGGGCCCAACCATGTGCAGCTGTGTGTAAAGCAGGTGTGGGTATCGTCCTCGGTGAACCTCCATCTGAGACCACGACGCGTGTGACGGGTGTGCCAAAATTGGCACGGGTACGCCATGCGGACGCTGCCACAGGAGCCGTCGGTGCAGCCCCATCTGAGGCCACGAAACGCGTGAGGGGTGCTGCCGAAATGCAGGGTGGAACCACGTGCGGGCGCTGCCACCAGGGCCTTTGGTGGCAGCGAAACGTGGAAGGGGTGCGCCGAAATGGAGGGGGAACTGCATGCGGAACCTGCCACTGGGGCCCTAAGTGGAACACTCCATGGGGCCACGAAACGTGTGAGGGGTGCGCCGACATGGAGGGGGAGCTGCATGCGGACTTGCCACGGGGGCCTTGAATGGAGCACCCTATGGGGTAACGAAACGTGTGAGGGGTGCGCCGAAATGGAGGTGGACCTGCATGTGGACCCTGCCACTGGAGCCTACGGCGGAGCACCGTATGGGGCCACGAAACGTGTGAGGGGTGCGCCGAAATGGGGTGGAACTGCATGCTGACCCTGCCACTGGGGCCTTCCGCGGAGCACCCTATGGGGCCACGAAACGTGTGAGAGGTGCGCCGAAATGGAGGTGGAACTGCATGCGGACCTTGCCACTAGGGCCTTCGGCGGAGCACCCTATGGGGCCACGAAACGTGTGAGGGGTGCGCCGAAATGGGGGTGGAACTGCATGCGGGCCCTGCCACTGGGGTCATCGGCGGAACACACCATGGGGCCACGAAACGTGTGAAGGTGCGCCGACATGGGAGTGGAACTGCATGCGGACCCTGCCGCTGGGGCCTTCGGCGGAGCACCCTATGGGGCCACGAAACGTGTGAGGGGCGCGCCGAAATGGGGGTGGAACTGCATGCGGACCCTGTCACGAGGGCCTTCGGCGGAGCACCCTATGGGGCCACGAAATGTGTGAGGGGTGCGCCGAAAGGGGGGTGGAACTGCATGCGGACCCTGCCACTGGGGCCTTCGGCGGAGCACCCTATGGAGCCACGGTACGTGTCAGGGGTGTGCCGAAATGGAAGTGGAATTGCATGCGGGCCCTGCCTCTGGGGCCTTGGGCGGAGCACCCTATAGGGCCACGAAACGTGTCAGGGGTGCGCCGAAATGGGGGTGGAATTGCATGCGGACCCTGCCACTGGGGCCTTCGGCGGAGCACCCTATCGGGCCTAAATCGTGCCAGAAGCCGTTCTTCGGACATCAGCACCGCGAGTGAACGTAACTGTTGCACCCTCGTAAGCCTGAATCCTTCCAAAACACCAGTTCTGGTACTTTGACATGGGAATCCGTGAAACCCTCGCAAATATTAAAACAATTAGCCTGGCGAAGGACCCAACCATATGCAGTTGAGAGTACCGCAATTGTGAATATCTTCTTCGGTGGCGCTCCCTGTGGGGCCACGAGCCGTATGAGGGGTGTGCCGAAATGCGTGGCAGTGTACACAACACGAACGAAGACGATAGGTCCGAATATGAAAGCTTGAGCGCGTGCGAGTCGGATCGCGAGCGAGTCTGATTATGAATGAATCTGCGCGCGATTGATTCTATTCGCATGAATGCGTGCATGGATACGCCCAGTGTAAATGTATGTATACGACTGTGAACAGTTTGGGTCTGCGTGACTCTCGGTACTCGTGACTCTGAGCGTCGCCTCTGCAGGGGGCTTCCCTGGGAACCCCGACGGCAGCGCCCGCGCGCCGCGACGCCCATGTCGGCACGCCACACACCTGGTGTGCGGGACGCATGCGGACGGCAGCACTGGGGCCTTCGGTGGAGCTCCCTGTGGGGCCACGAAACGTGTGAGGGGTGTGCCGAAATGGGTGTGCGGGACGCATGCGGACGGCAGCCATGGGGCCTTCGGTGGAGCTCCCTATGGGGCCACGAAACGTGTGAGGGGTGTGCCGAAATGGGTGTGCGGGACGCATGCGGACGGCAGCACTGGGGCCTTCGGTGGAGCTCCCTGTGTGGGCCACGAAACGTGTGAGGGGTGTGCCGAAATGGGTGTGCGGGACGCATGCGGACGGCAGCCATGGGGCCTTCGGTGGAGCTCCCTATGGGGCCACGAAACGTGTGAGGGGTGTGCCGAAATGGGTGTGCGGGACGCATGCGGACGGCAGCACTGGGGCCTTCGGTGGAGCTCCCTGTGGGGCCACGAAACGTGTGAGGGGTGTGCCGAAATGGGTGTGCGGGACGCATGCGGACGGCAGCCATGGGGCCTTCGGTGGAGCTCCCTATGGGGCCACGAAACGTGTGGGGTGTGCATATGGGTGATGGGTGTGCGGGTGCGGACGCATGCGGACGGCAGCCATGGGGCCTTCGGTGGAGCTCCCTATGGGGCCACGAAACGTGTGAGGGGTGTGCCGAAATGGGTGTGCGGGGCGCATGCGGACGGCAGCGCTGGGGCCTTCGGTGGAGCTCCCTGTGGGGCCACGAAACGTGTGAGGGGTGTGCCGAAATGGGTGTGCGGGACGCATGCGGACGGCAGCCATGGGGCCTTCGGTGGAGCTCCCTATGGGGCCACGAAACGTGTGAGGGGTGTGCCGAAATGGGTGTGCGGGACGCATGCGGACGGCAGCCTGGGGCCTTCGGTGGAGCTCCCTGTGGGGCCACGAAACGTGTGAGGGGTGTGCCGAAATGGGTGTGCGGGACGCATGCGGACGGCAGCCATGGGGCCTTCGGTGGAGCTCCCTATTGGGCCACGAAACGTGTGAGGGGTGTGCCGAAATGGGTGTGCGGGACGCATGCGGACGGCAGCACTGGGGCCTTCGGTGGAGCTCCCTGTGGGGCCACGAAACGTGTGAGGGGTGTGCCGAAATGGGTGTGCGGGACGCATGCGGACGGCAGCCATGGGGCCTTCGGTGGAGCTCCCTATGGGGCCACGAAACGTGTGAGGGGTGTGCCGAAATGGGTGTGCGGGACGCATGCGGACGGCAGCCATGGGGCCTTCGGTGGAGCTCCCTATGGGGCCACGAAACGTGTGAGGGGTGTGCCGAAATGGGTGTGCGGGACGCATGCGGACGGCAGCACTGGGGCCTTCGGTGGGAGCTCCCTATGGGGCCACGAAACGTGTGAGGGGTGTGCCGAAATGGGTTGTGCGGGACGCATGCGGACGGCAGCACTGGGGCCTTCGGTGGAAGCTCCCTGTGGGCCACGAAACGTGAGGGGTGTGCCGAAATGGGTGTGCGGGGGACGCATGCGGACGGCAGCCATGGGGCCTTCGGTGGAGCTCCCTATTGGGGCCACGAAACGTGTGAGGGGTGTGCCGAAATGGGTGTGCGGGACGCATGCGGACGGCAGCACTGGGGCCTTCGGCGGAGCTCCTATGGGGCTACGAAGCGCTGTACTGGGTGGGTGAAACGCAGGGAAGAGGGGGAGGAGGGAGGAGGAGGAGGAAGGAGGAAGGAGACGCGGGGCACCGTCTCTTCAAAACGAGGACCCAACACCACAGGATGGTTGGGAATTATCCCGGCGAAGGGCCCAACCATGTGCAGCTGTGTGTAACGCAGGTGTGGGTATCGTCCTCGGTGAACCTCCATCTGAGACCACGACGCGTGTGGCGGGTGTGCCAACATTGGCACGGGTACGCCATGCGGACGCTGCCACAGGAGCCGTCGGTGCAGCCCCATCTGAGGCCACGAAACGCGTGAGGGGTGCTGCCGAAATGCAGGGTGGAACCACGTGCGGGCGCTGCCACCAGGGCCTTTGGTGGCAGCGAAACATGGAAGGGGTGCGCCGAAATGGAGGGGGAACTGCATGCGGAACCTGCCACTGGGGCCCTAAGTGGAACACTCCATGGGGCCACGAAACGTGTGAGGGGTGCGCCGACATGGAGGGGGAGCTGCATGCGGACTTGCCACGGGGGCCTTGAATGGAGCACCCTATAGGGC